TACATCATAAAAGTAGATGCATTTAAACCCAAATAAACCATATCTAGGTATCCTCTACACATTAAAAGAAATAGAGAAAAAAATATTTATTTTGACATAAATTCAATTATTCTTAAATGAAAAATGCTTTATAAAAGCCACTTTGTCCCTGGCACTTTTTGAATGTAATATTAATCAAATATAATAATTAGAACTAAATGTTAATCTTTATCGACAGTAAATATTTGTAAAAATATTTCTTTCGGCTTTCGGTTTGGGTGGATTGCCTGAACATTGATAAAAATACGCTCGCGAAAAAAGTAACAAGCAAGGTTAGTGCAGTCATCCGGCTGCGAAAAATCATGGGTTCAAGTCCCGTCTCAGAGTGCCAGGGACAAAGCAGATTATATTTTCAGATTCGAATATTAAAACCAGTGTTAGTAAGACAACGTTAAAAATGGATTTAATAGACAAAATTAAACACCATTTTTAGAAATGGTTTATATTTTTGAAATTGTTTAGTTAATTATATATTCTTATTTTCTAAAACTAGCTTTAGTGTTGGTTTTATTGTCAAAATTATTAATGATATATTTGTGAAACGTAATATTCTTTCATATTTTGTATATTTTTTAAAGTTTTTCATCCCCACTCCATTCAATTCTTTTAGTGTAAACAGTCTTAGAGCAATCGCTCGTTGCTCTCTCTGCGTTCGCAAAGATTATATGGAGCATTCTAAGAATTAAATGAAATATCTTTATTCAAGTAAGCTTATTTCAAGCACTTTTGAATCATCCAAAAAAAATTTTCCCCCTACCACTTGGTCAGGACGTCTTTTAGCTGACAAGAAGAACAAGCGCAAGAAACTTACCAGCTCTTTATCATAAGTAATGACATTTACATAAATCAATTACCAAAATAGCATGTATTATCACAATAATAAATACAACTTTCATAAATACTCATTCACTTGGTGTAAACGGCATTAGAGCGTACGAACATTTGCTTAGAGCGTTCAGAGGCACTCGCTCATAGGAGCGGTCTCTTTAAAGAGTTCTTGTAATCTAGTGATTTGAGTACACATAGCTATCGATTACACGAGCGTTCGTTTGATCTAAACGTTGTGCATAATTCTTGTTCTTGGTTCGAGAGAACTGAGAATTCTTGCTCGTTGATTTTTTTTGTTTAAACGCTTATAATGAACTAGTGGCCGCCAGCGACTTCGCCCGCGTTTTCCATTATTTGTTCGCTCCATATAGTTGCAGTGTGATGTTATATAGCCTAAAGCCTTCCTCGATAAATGGACTATTCAACACAAAAATATTTTTTTAATTCGAGCCAATAGTTCCTGAGATTAGCGCGTTCAAACAAACAAACTCTTCAGTTTTATAATATTAGTATACAGCGTGTTTGGTAATACCTGTATAATCCCGAATATGGCACATACGGTATGATGAATAGAACCCAGAACAATGATCACTAAGTCTGAAGCCCTGCACATGACCTAGATATTTAGCTTTTTTCTTCGAAGTAAAACTGTACGCTGACAACCCTAAAAACAGCTGTTGTTCTAGGAAACGAGAGAAAGTGAGAGGTAATGAGAGAGAGAGAGAGCGAGTACGCCGGGACGGCACGTATAAGCTTTCAGGGTTGTAGCATATTAATTAAAAACAAATTGTTCAAATATTTGTATGAAAACCTCAATTTACGTGAAATTGTTTTTTGACATATTAATTGTGTTCTTTGTGCTAGGTTATATGGCCATGTTTCGGGATTATACATGTATTACCAAACATCCTGTAGATTGTAGTTGACACCAGAAGTGTTCTTCTGGTGTATAAAGAATGCTCGTTTTCTTGCTCTTTTTGTTCGTTTGGTATAAATGAACCTTAAGACAAAAGACTTAATTGTAGTAGCTTCACTTTTCTGGTATACATCTACATTCTGGTATATATGAATATCATTGTATTCTGCACTCACACACAATAAAAAAATATTACCTAAACTTATATATGCTATAAAATAATAAGTTTGCTTTGGTTATCTTAGTTCTATGACATACAGAACTAAAAGTCTATATTTGTGAGCTGCTGTGTACACACTATATCTTAATTTAAAAACATGCTACAAATATGTCAGCTTGACCAATAACTTGATCACGGATCTGCAAAATTAGTTGTTTAATGCAACATATTATATATTGAATTAATGAGAGGTTAGTTATCTTCAATTTATTTCAGTTTGAATGTAACAAAAGTGCCGTAAGCGTCACGTTCCAAAAATTTTACTAGTATTCACCAAAGAAGCCACTCGTGTAACGGTTTTGACTAACATGAGAAACTTTAGTTTAAATCAGCCAAACAAAAAAATATTGTCACTCAATTGAAAAACTTTATATTCAGGTAAGATATCTTATAGTCATATTTCCTAATATAATGAATACTTATTTAGTTAGCAGAAATATAAAAGATATAAATTTAATATATTTTTTTAGCAGCATTTATAATTATACCGTTAAGACTGCGATAAGTGTAAACTTTCTCATTTAATTTATCATATTGACGTATAACCACTAAATTTTAAAATAGATATAACTATATAACTATTTGCATGTTCCAACGCAGAGGGATTTCAAGTTCTCAATAGTAATTTTAATCAGTGATTTTACTTCAAAATAATTCTAGTGGTAAAAGCAAGAAGGTTTAAAAAAGAACGAAGACGCTGTATCGTATGAGCATGTTGGCAGACATTGTTGATATTATCATATTATTTATCGAAAAAGCTAACGAGACGCACTATGTTACATTACAGCCGGTTCTAGATCAGCTCGTAGATAAACAAAAACATAGATATACAAAAACCTATAAAATTGTTGACCTTACGATACGAACTATACCTACCGTAAAATTTAGGCTTTACTTTAAAATAAATACAAAAGTTGCCCATTGGGATCTATTTATCTATGAGGAAATATCGAATCTGTTGACATCGCTGCAAGAGACAACACAATCGGTGGAAAGTTGAAGTGACAACAACGCAAACAATACAGACACAATAGCGCAAAATGGTTGCATGACTTGAAAGTTGCCACGTCCGCTTGAAGGAACACAAGCGATTGTAAATGATATCCTATTTGTGTGTCGCGAAGTCATTACATAATACGTTCAGCGTCTCCTCAAATAAAATATTTTTGTTTCACGCTATCGCTAAATATTTGTGCTTCCAGGATCAGGTATGTATGCTCGATACCCATTGATTTTTAGCATAGAAAATTAATTATTTTATAAAATAATAATATTGATAGCGTTCTGAACTAGCAATTACAGTTGTGACAATCTTTTTGATACGGGTAGTAAGTAAATAGAGATTTTATGGCTTTGCATAAAATATTATTCACATATTTACTAGTTACTCATATGGTTGCCTCGGGTACTGTTTTGTAGAGCTAGATGAATCCGTAGTTTGCTATGTTCTTACTGTTATTATTCTGTAAACTTTAAACTAATAATCGTCTGCCGTTTTCCAGTTTTTTCTTTCAATCAACGTTCAATTTGATGGATAATTTATTTCTATATAACCTAATTCTCGTAGTAAAAAGCCCTTGTTTGGTTGTGAAATATCTAAACTACTTTGTAGGACTTGAGCCATAGCGTTAAGCTAGTCTGTGTACTAGATGCTTGAACAATCACAATAACATTGACATAATTGACAATCAACACAAGCCCCAGTGAGGGATGGCGGGTCAGCCGGGCGTGAGGTTATTGGTCCTGAGTGAGTGTGATGTTTCAGTGCGGCTATCTCGAGGGGCTGCGCTCATCACTCGGTGGCTGGACGCAGAAAGTTAAATCATGGTACTGGGGAAGACCTCTAGTAAGTGGCTCGCCCTTCCGTCGGCGGAAAGATCAACGGAACGTCTTAGCACTTTAACGATTCTTACATTTGCACGATATTTTTACAAACAATTTTTAAAAAATAATTGGGAATTATTTGCTTCTGAAACAGTCAAACTGCTTGGTGTTAGACAATTATTTGTATATTTTTCACTTCACTGTCGATGCACTCGTTCGGTGTTGATTTAAAGCATTAAAATTTAATATAATTTATCCTTTAAATTTTATTTTTTCGTAGTGACGCACATTCAGTAAATAAATTGATTTGAATCGCATCATTCCGGTAAACATTAGCCTGTAGATAAAATTATTTGAATGGATTGAGCTGACGTGCTGCATGGAAATTTTAGTAAACATTTTCTAAATTTCGATTCTATTTAATTTTAAATGTATTAACGTTAGTCAAAATTTTAATTATTATTTTCATTTGAGGCCACTGAAATTCATCAATAACCTGCAAACAAATGCATGGTGGCATAAAGTGCAAGTAGATACTTTAAAATCATTAAATTTCTTTTGTTCTGAGCTTATATTGATAGCATACGCATTTAGTTACATTTTATATGTGTTTGCTTCACAATTGTAAATTTATTTAGTATTTTCATTTATATTACATTAACAATTACAACCGGTTTAACGACTCTATCCATAAATACATTTTTACACTTGTAAAATTAACCCACTTTGAACCACGCCACCGAGTGATCGAACCGCATGATTCTGAGCCTCCAGCACACATCTCACTACAGCTTCTCAATACATTTAAAGTAACAATTTATCATATTAGATTTATTGTAACTGAGAGGCACACGGTCGTAAGCGAGACTTATTTCCTCCAGAGCAGTTCCTGGGCAAAGGACAAGGCGTACACCGTTACAGCCCTCTGCCACCCAGCTACATGTAACAATATTTTGAGCACAACCAGCATTTAGAGGCTGCAACAAAGTTGCTGTTATTAGCAATGTAGCAAGTATTGACAGTGTTGATGTGGTATATAGAAAGCTTAGGACATTAGGAATCAATGTAATAATTAAGTATACTAATACTAAGTAATTACTGAGTGTACATATCGCAGTGTTAATTTAAGAAAAGTATTTAACGTGATTCAGTAGGAATAAAATTATTTTACAGGAGCTGGCACATAAGTTATCGCGGAGTTTCGATATGAAAGAAGAGGGTGGAGCGTTATTAGATGAAAGAGGAGGTATAAGACGGCACCAGTCTATGCAGCGGTTACAGCATGGTGATGGACAAATTGATGAAGGCCGAGCAGCACGTGTAGTTCCTGACCATCATGGCAACCTACACATAACGGTGAAGAAGACTAAGCCTATCCTTGGCATAGCTATTGAAGGTGGTGCTAATACTAAGCATCCGCTACCAAGGATAATAAATATTCATGTAAGTAATAAAAAAAGCACGTGGTTTTGTTAATGATGTCCTATTCTGTAATGAGTGGTAGATTAAAAAGTGAACAATAACATTTGTTCTTCAATGACCTTTCGAAATCGGCATTTAATATTGTGTTTCTACTTAACAAATGGAACGAATGAAATATAATAATTCAATCAGCAGCGATATTTCACCAGTTAATCTGAAAAATATGCATACCTATTATGGACTGATTAATAATTAGGGCACTGCTGATATTGCCAAGACGCTTTTGATTTATTTTTAACTAAATTTCATTATTGACACGAGCCAGATGGTAGATACCATAAATGCATTATAGTACAATTAAATAAGAGTAATATATATGGTATATGATTTGTTACATAAACACTCGTATTATTTCTACTGACCTACTACATACCACCAACATTTTATTAAATAAATACAGAGCAGTAATTGCAATTTAACATACTTTATCGGAAAAACAACCTCGTATGACATTTATTGCTGGTTCATTTACAAATATTTGTTGGTCATGAGTTACTAGATATGATGGCTGACCAAAAATATTTTTCTGAATACACAAATACGAATACTTTGCTAACCAGTTAAAGTGATATTTTTTAAAGCCCTGATTGTTAAAAACTGACTAAAATACCTGCGTTTGATTACTTTGGGCCAATTAATCCCAATTAAGACATATTCTAACGGTTTAACAGTTTTCTCAGAGTTTTTAACAGTCTGGTTTACAGAAATATTAAGCCTTATAAGGCGTGTATCCTCATAGTGAGATTGTTCGTTTGAATAGTATTGAAAGTATGTAGCCTCGGCAAATAAATCTCCACATCACCAAGCTGATTGTATTATGCAACCTCGCTACGTGGATACATGCCCTTAATGAAAGAATATATATAAGGAATGGAGTTTCATATTTGATTGCATATTTTCAGGAACACGGTGCAGCGTATGAAGCAGGAGGTTTGGAGGTTGGACAGTTGATCCTAGCGGTGGACGGTCATAGAGTCGAAGGCATGCAACATCAAGATGTCGCAAGACTTATTGCAGAGTCTTTCGCGCAGAGAGAAAAACCGGTGAGCAATAAATTCCGAATTATCAAATAAATTCAAGTAATAAGGTAAAATAAAATTGTGCTTGAAATCGCGCGAACAGGGACACTCGAAGACGCCACATTCATAAATATGTTATAAATATTTACCCATCAAAATTCGTCAAGTTCCTAAGATCTATTGAAGATGTCAAATCACAAGACTGTGGTAATCGTAAATTTGGTATTGATAAACTTAATAGTTTAATGGTATCATGTGAACAGTAAAGTTGAAAATCTGCATTATCTTTCTAATCTACCAACTATCAATTCTTCCTTTTTCTTACATTAACTTGCAGATTATGATGTTAAGAGAACTATTTTATCTCTATATATTAGTCGGAAAATTATTGATATTCTGTCTCCAATAATCACCAAAATCCTAAAAGCATCAGTATCTGATGATCCGATCCTAGATCCTATAAAGACGCGAACATAAGCGAAATAGGAAAATTCTGCCGAATTTTCTGACTACTGTCCCATTCCAATTTTTTGTCTTCTATTCAAAGACCTCGAAAAATCTGTTCCTCGGTAGCTTACCGCGTTCTTTAAATCATATCCAATCTTTAATCCTTTACCATCTGGTTCCCGGATGTAGAATCCTTTCGAAGTAATCTGCTGCCATGTCAGCAGGGCGTTCGTATTGTCATTTCTGCATGGTGTGATTTAGATGCCAACATTCCTTAGCGTGGTGTTTTATATTCTCTACTTTTTCTATCCTTATAAATTTCATTACACAGCTACCTTCATGTTCCTTTCTCCTTTACGCATATCTCCAGATCTATACTCAAACAAGTACCGTTACTTGATCTTTCGAGTGGATCAACGATTGGAGTAAATCATACGGTTTTATTGGTACCCCTTCTAAGACCGAAACTATTGAAAATGGCAACTGTCATTTCGTTTGGAGATCGGCTTTGAACAATTGTATCCTGTAAGTTTCGGCAGCAGTATTATTCGTTACTTTATTCTATCTCTAATATTTTAAGGGAAAGAAATTATCTTAATAATAATGGTTTATCATTTCTTTAATAAATAATTACTCCTAGTAGTCATTAAAGTTTTTCATTTGGTATTTTTATGCTTCTTTACAGGACATCGAGTTTCTGGTAGTGGAAGCGAAAAAATCGAACCTGGAACCAAAGCCAACGGCATTAATATTTCTGGAGGCCTAACATCTACTGTCCCTCCCCGCCAGCGACCCACCGGCCGCGCTGGGCAGCGCGATGCCGGTGGTCGACCTCACCGCTCACACCACGGAATAGCCAACTCCAACCTGCGCTGCCACATGCTCTTCTAAATGCGATATTAACAAAATAGACCCGTACTTCCCCATTCCCGAGGACTAAACGCTAAAATCATTTTTTTATGGTTTCGTTATAAAATTTAAGAAATGTCTAAAAAATTTCACGATACAATTTCGAGTGTCACATTTCAAAATATTTTTCGAAATTTTATTTAAAAAATTAATTCGTTAAACAAAAAATATGTTTTATGAAACCCTATAGAATTTTAGTAGTTGAGAAATCTGCTTTTATTGCTACGTGACATGTTACTTGAACTTACATGCGAAATTTTGCGATAAAATTTACACAATAAAGTTACCTAACTAAAAACTTTTCGAGGTTGATAAATGTGACACAAACTGTCCCAAAATAATAAAATCGTCCTTGAGAATGGATTGTTAGGGTCTGGCCTTAGACGAAGAGGTGTTTGCTGTACAGGGAATTAATCTATTGGATGATTATCATCGATGTACGAATCTAACTAACATGACGCTGCAACGGGCTGAATTGAAAACAAAATTTATTAGCGACATGACGCAGGTAACAGTAGGCTATACAAAATATATGAATGGCACAGGGGAGGCAATACTGTTTTTTACATCACGACGAATTGTCCAGAATATTGAATAAAAGATAAATTAGTAACGATGCACACTGCCCGAGTGGTTTTTTCACGTTTCTTATTACAAAATGACGTCCCATATTTCGAACGGGATACTTCGGGTAGTTGAAACAATAACTTTTGTAAGTTATTTTCTAGGCGTAGTGATAAACCATTTTTAACAGTAGCCAGTGACTGAATTTTATATGGAAAAAATAAGATCTCCTACTTTTATCACTACGATAAGTTCATCTCGTCACACATTTGAAATTTAAAAGTAAAAATTTTTCAGGTAGACTCAGTTGATTTCGATTCAGTAAAAAAAATTAAATAGAAAAATTAAATAAATAGAGTTATAAAGAGATGACGATAACATAGATCTTATACGATGTTAATTTCTGAAATGTTTCGTGCATATATTTTTAAAAATTGGCAATGGTGCTATGAAAGGAAATCATTTGAAGGATAAATTTCGACACGTCGGTTCATGTTCACATGTAGTTGTCAGTAGTTGGATTAGTGCTTATCGTCGGCGCGTTCTCATTCCACTCGATTGTCAGAGGTCATCCATGTGCCATCAGTCTTGAGGAGCCATAGTCGGCTCCAACATTTCATCTAGTTCGCAGTATCGATGGTAACAATAGTGCCATGTAGCAGCCCCATCATCGTCATTAGTAAGAGCAGAGCTTGCAGCACGCGGCGCTCTCCTAAGCAAGCTGTTAGAACGCATTAAATTTCATAGAATTTTTAAGTATCGTATTCTTAAATTGCTTTATAAAATAAAAGTGCTTGTTGTAGAGTTACTAACCATTTTATATCACAGTAGTTTGATACAACGATTATGTGTCTCCCTGCAAACCCTTTTGGTTTGTTCGTTAGTCAGTGGTTTGTTCGTTTGAGCAAATATCAATCCCCGAATCTATATAGACTACTTTTCAATCATCGCGGCATACATGCAAATAATTACTTTTATCTTTTGGTTATATTACCGGCCTGATTGTAGCGAATGTGCAATATTTTTTCCTTAAAATTTTCATTATGGCTTCCATCAGTTTGCTTAGCGAGGCTACGTAATAATGCGTCAAACATGTCATTCCATCAGGTAGTTATGCGGTGAGTTAACGAAATTATGGCGGAGAGGGATTTTAGCCCACTCTTTAATTTATAACGTAGATAATAATGAATGTGTGCAATATAATCAAATACGTTTTGTTAGATGTTTAAATCAATAAACAATTGTATGTCATAGATAATGTATGTAGGTCGTCACAGGGTGGCATTTATAAATAATTCATCGTGAAATTAATTTTAACTTTGTCTCAACATTTATAATAAATACGTGGCGCCTACTTTGTATACATGCTCCCCATATATAATTATGAATGTTGCTAGAGCTTTTAATACATTTAACAAATGTAGATATTGTACACGATCCAATCCGTTTCAATACTGTATAAAATGTAAAATGCTATGAACCTCGTTATATCAAAACACGTGGCCGATGTAAATATATATATTTATTATTCATAAGTTGTAAATACCAAATTTTAATGAATTGTAATATAAAAATTATGTGAAATATTTATTGAAGTTAGTGCCAAAAGCGTTTTACAATTCCCTCAATTATTGCGTGTACAGTATAAAAGAATTACGTAGTAAAGTATCTAAACTGGTCTTTGGTAAATAAATACAATTTCATAATGAAAGCAGAAAGAAGGTAGCAACATAATTAACTCTTTAAGGATACATTTATTTATAATTAAAAGCAATTGTACATATTATAAAACTGCTATTGACTAAGTTACTCCGCATAAAGAATATAAAAAAAGATCGTTGTGCTTTCTTACAAGTTTGGCCTAAGTTTCTATCAATTATTATTATAATAGAAACAATCTTCCTTTAAATAATCAAAAACTTCATAGTACAAATTGAAAACGTTTATCAAAATTCTTACCTGCTTTAATACTTATTTATTTAATATTATCTTTTATAGAAAATTTTTGTTTTTTAAACTTATCTCCTTCACTGCTTTCATTGCCAAAGTGTAAATGTAATAGAAGGATCTGCTCTTTTTATAAATTAATCTTTAATAATGTTTCTCATTAAGATTTATTGAATTGAGCAGATCCACCCAGTTAGTATTTCAAGCAGCCCAAAGTCATTCAAAGAATAACCACGCTTTTCCACTATATTAGGATTTGATCATCTTAAAAATTTATATTTCAATTAAATAATATTTTAAGTAAAGCATCGCATAATTATATATTTGATACTCGTTTCACAATTGAAGTTATCCATTATACGCTCTAGTACTGAAATTATATTAAGTAAATATTAAATTCCAATGATAATTTCAGATTATTCTGGGAATTATCAGAAAATGAAATAATGGAACAGAGTATCTGTGCACTGAAATGTTTATATATATATAAATCTGTATATTTTGTATGAATAATTATAGTTAATTTTAAGTTTTAATTACCACCTTAAGCTACCTATAATAATTTTGTATGAGTATTAAGTACCTATTTTAATATGTATCTAAGCGTACATTGTACGTTTTAAGCCTCTATTTGAGTCAATTCATAATTTACGTATTGGTCACGTCAACCCAAAAGCAATTTTAAAAGTAGGAAGTAAGAATTATTTTAATAACTATCTGCAAGAATATAATTCGTGTATGTATACCTATATGATTTGATCATAATAATTTGAGACCGCTTATCGGTAAATCACCGTTTCGCCTTGATATGGGCCGATTATGTGTATTTGACTGAACTTAAGGTTGATAACTCACGAACATTTCCACTAATCGTTTAATTATGGTGAAATGTACATATCGGTTCTATACAACGTGTAATTGAAAAACCGCAAATACTCAAAAATTTAGGGAAGACATGTATATCTTTTGTCAAGATAAATATTAAAGTTTCACAACAAGAAATTAGCTTTACTCGAGATTTTAGTGTATTTCCTTGTAAATGTAAAATGTTGAAAAATTATATATACATATATTCCAGCAATATCAACAAGTGCGTTCATCGCAAAAATATCATCATACAAAATTTCTGTGGCATTCACGATTTGAAATGAAAAGGAAGTTTGGGTACTCAAGGAAGCTTATTGAAACGTCATACTTTTGAAATGTTTTATAACTGGCCATATAATTCTTTACAAGAAGAAAACTCTATTAATATTGAAAGAAAGGAATACAATACAATAATAATTACAAAAGGTTAACTTTACAAAAGTTGAATGAGTCCTTTTAGTTATGAATAGTTAGAAAAGAACGGCTGGACTAATTTGCCAGATTTTTTATTCGTTGATATCCGAAAAAGGTGCTTATAGATAGAAAAAAACGTTTTGTATTGTTTTCACATATTGGTCGAGCAAATGGTCTGTTTTTAAAGAGGCTGTGAAGTAGCGGGTTTAGATCACGCGAATCTAAACCCGCTACTTCACACACGAATTTCAAAACCTGTGTAAGGATAGGAAAAGGTACTCACGGTTTGAAGGGTTCCACCTGACGACGTCCAGCTATTTGTTTTTAGTCCGAGATTCACCAAGACAACGATCGCGATGCGTAAACAAACATACAGTATATGAACTTATATCAGGTGGGGGGTAATAGAAAAAATGACTATGAGGGAAAAAGCTGCGGGTAGAAAAGAAAGGAGACACAACCTTGATATCATCGCATTTGCGCGCGTACACATATTAACTACTAGCTTTCGCCAGCGGATTCGCCCTCGTGGTCCCTAAGGAAATTTTTAGGGGGATAAAAAGTACCCTTTTATTTTAGTCAACTAATACCCTATCTGTATACCAAATCTCATCAAAATCCAATCAGTAGTTACGGCGTGATTGATTGAGAAACATCCAAACAAAGAAACTTTCACATTTATAATATTAATAGGATTTGTGCTATTTCAATTACACGTTGTATTTGCTGCATTGCTGTTATTCAGCTGCATGATTTAATTCTTATTATTCTGAGCCGTCCATTTATTTTCGCATTGATTTTATCTTTACGATCAGACCCGGATCTAGGGGGGAGTTGAGGCGCCTGTCCCGGACACCAGTATTAGGGGGAGCGCCAAAATCATCACCATATAACGCCTTTTTACAGTTACAAAAATTATGAGACACCGCAAAATATGAGAATTTGTAATCGGGCTCCACGGAAGGGGGTGTTTAGAGAAAGGGCGCCATACGAAGTTTCTGCCCCGGTAAAAAAAATCGAAGATCCGGACCTGTTTACGATGACGGTGTGAGATTTTATGAATATCAAATAATTCTAATAATCGACCTTTATGTTATAAGTCCGATGTTTCAGTGACATTATTGGCAGGGCAACAGTAAATTTTGAATAGTTTGTAACTTATCGCAGTCTTAACTTGACGCATGAGTTTCGTTGAAAAGATCTATGTTGTAGTCTGTTGTTAAGTTTGTCGTTGATAACAAAAATATATTGTTATCTAGATATACTGTTGTTTTATTTTCTTAGCGAATATTATTAGACAGCGCGGCATTATTGTGATCTAAGCACATGTATTGGGAATAAAAAATCTTAACATGACCATTTGATTTATAGATTATCATGGCGTAATTTTCGACTTTCACAAGTGCTCTGTAAAAGCCTAAACTGCATAAACAATTTTGATTTTACAAAACACAGTTAAACGCACTACAGTCAAAAGCACATCAGGGTTTATAAAATTGTCAAAGATTATCTTATGACAATTCAATTGGGTCCATAAGAGGCTCGTCCGCCCCTAAAAATTGCTTAAATTTCAGGTCATCATCATCATCATCATCAGCTCTTTTACGTCCCCACTGCAGGGGCTCAGGCCTTCCTTATGGATGGTTAAGGAGGATGGGCCATGACCCTCCACGCTGGCCCAGTGAGCATTGGAGGGTATTAACGACTGCAAATGCAGTCGGGACCAACGGCTAAAAGTGCCTTCCGAAGCACGGAGTAGTTCAAGATAATAATTTTTTGGTCACCCATCCCGTGACCGACCCTTGCGAAAGTTGCTTAACGACAACGACCGCGGGCCGCGGCGCTTATCCACTACGCCACCGAGTTACTCAAATTTTAGGTTGACCGCATCAATGAAAGTTTAGCACTGAAATATTTCAGAAAATATGCATTTCAAATTTTCACGAATATTCTCCATCCCACTCACGTACTTTTTTGTACTTTAAAGGCATTAGTTGCCGAAATCTTTGTACACCAGACAAAGGTATTTCGACGGAAAGCTGCAAATAGGTAAAAGTACTTAGATCATTCTATAGACTTTTCAAAGATGTTCATA